GCATTAAAACCGTTTTGTCACTTTGTTCTCCCACACCAACCCCAGGCGACCCGCTAATGGTTCGCTAATGCACGAGACGCTGGATGGGATTTATAAGTCGTGCCTTGACATAATGTGAGCGGGGTAGTAGCAAGCACGTCAATATCCAGTGCTGCGCCTCGGTGCTGTAGAAAATTTTTCGTTCAGATGGTTTTGTGAGGAATTATGACAAACCAGAAAACTAAGGAACTAATCACATATTGCAAGGATTTTCTTCGAATTCTGAACCCCCAAGAAGGGTACGGTACGTTTCTCCGAAATGTTGGCACAAATCGACCAATGTAAACGACGCTGAATCGCAAAAGAACACTATCGTTACTTCATATTTATTTACTGCGAACTGTATCCGAATTTATATAAAATTTCACCAAACCACTCTTTAGCGTAAAATAAATATTTCTGGTTTTGTAATATTTCGGAACAGCTTCTTGGCCATCAATCGCAAGAGAGCAAGATATTTCATACTGCAAAGCGATAAATCAGCTCCCACTTTCGTCACAAAAGTAGCAAAGCAACAACAAGTAAGCAATATATTTCATATTGCCATAGAAACAAGGCCATCATTTGTTCCCACTACCGAAAAGCTGGTTTTCGTTTGACATTGAGTGCGTGTGTGGTTGCCTAGCTGTTAGGGGAGCTAGAGTGGAGTGTTTACTGGCATCGCTCGCCCCCAAATTGCTCCGCTGGGAGCGCTAGTGAAGGGGAATGGGAGTAGAATTAAATCAGAGAGCAGAGAGGAGCTGGAAGCATGGCGGGTGACGACAAGAAGAGTGATGCTGCTCAGGAGGGAGCAGAAAATGAAAACGTACAGCCACTATAAATTAACAGATAAACGCAAATTGAGTCGCTCAAACGAAAGATCTTCCAGAACATCCGAACAGTTGTTTCGACACTTTTAATCTGAAACAGGCAATAATTTTCGCGACTGGCACTGCATCACAGAATCAGAATATGCATTGCTGAAATGTTTCACGAACAGCAGCAAACAATTCTGATGCGATGTAACATTCAAGAACAAATACACGCGGTTTGTTCGTCAATAAACCATGTTTGCGCCTGTACGGCGTTTGTGGAACTGAAGTGAAGAGCGGCCTACCGATAAGGGAAACCTTTTGAAATTTGAGGACGATGTTTTTCGTGTAGATCTTGAATGGAGACAGAAGATTTCTCCGAAACTTCGACACACACCGACATGTCCACACGGCACCAAAACCCACAAAGAACATCATGAAGGGTGACCACAACTCAAGTGTCAAGGAGCTCTAAGAGAGTAATGGAACACTTCGTGTAAGAGTTTTGTTTCAACTGAGGTACGGTAAGCCGTGCCTACTCGGAAATGAACACTTTCCAATCTTTCTGTTTCTTAGATTGCTTCTTCTAGACAAGAGAAATTGATATGACAAAATAAATCTACTTTAGCGATACAGTTTTCAAAGCAGCTGGAGCGCAGACGAGAGCATTTCCAAGAAACGTCGTGATAATATGAAGGACGACAGAAGAGAAGAGTGGATTGTGGGAAGGAAATCGAGCAAAATACAGAATCGAGAGGATTAGACTCTGTTATCTGAAGGGAGCAGTCAACGGGAAAAGAACATTATGTACGTTTCATGATCGGCCCCGTTTTCCAACTAAGATTTATGTCTCTTCTACGATAACAACACAACGGATTAGTCCCAGCCCAACCCAAACTCCCCCCACCCGAACTACATTCCATCACCAACGAATCTTTGTCCCTAGTAAAAATATAACGAATGTTACGTACAACAGTTTATTTCATGAGCTAATAATACTGAAGAGAGAAAAGAGTTGGCAGTATTACCAGATTTTCACACAACAGCGACGTTTCGGAAATTCCAACACGCTTTCATTCTTCCTAAAGAAGGACCAGACCAAAGACGCCTTCCGAGATTAATTGCTTTAATAGTTCCTTCTTGGTCAGGCTGCGTCTCGTCTTCCTATTGATTACAGTGTCGGACCTTTGGTTTTAATCTTTGTATACAGGACTGTCATCACTTTTCAAACCGTCTGCCATAACAGCCTATGTAGTTGGAAACTCATTTAATGATAAAATGGAAAAACTTAGTGTCTCAACCTAAATGTTGACGGTGGGTAGAGAAAGCTATCGTCTCATAAATGAGTAATTTATTTTATTAATTTCAAACACAAATGCGAAAATCAGTTTGATCCAAATATGCTCTTGTAGTACCGAGTAGATTGTTCATAAAGAGTTTAAAGATGAAACATAAGATGAAAGAAATGTATAATACAAAGAAGTAAACAACAGATACTTACAAAATTTTGTTTAAAAGTCTCGTAAAAATTAATTAGATGGATGAATACATTTTATCATATCACTATAAAAGTTTGAGAAGTTGCGGTCTTCAAAGATATGACACCAAATAGAACTCACTGACAGTATTTCAGAAGAAAATGACTAATTCTAGACCATAATAGCAGACAGTTTCTTGATCAGATGTTTGTTAACATGCGTCGTTATTATTTATTCTATTTTCGAACTTAGAAATTTAAGAAATCAGACTATCTCTAAATTTGGAAATGTAAAATTTTAAGAATAAAATCACTATCCCTACTATGTATGTCCATAAACCAAAGTTTTCCTTCGGAAGCTGATATTCGCTCTGCTAGTTAAAAGAAATTAAGTTTTTTTACGGAATCTAATATTTTATAAGTTGCCCCTTCACTATGAAGAGTTATTTATCTTCATACTAAAACCCCAAACTGGAGGACCACCACATGTCAGCTGTCTTCTCCTCCATCCACAACGCGAGGATGCGTCTTGCCTCGGTGACAAAGGAGGAAATTAATATGATAAAATATATCATTACCATATTGATTTCGGTGATTTTTTTGCATATTCTTCGTCAGATATAGATGTTTGGGTTAGGAATTAAAATACATATATTTCTTTGCAGATAGCAAGACAAACACGCGGATAATGAGAGCCGCGTAACAAAGTGGTGCTCGCAATAGACTGCGGTTTGCTTGTCTTCCTTTAAAACACTGTGTTTGTTATGTCATTATTTACAACGCATTTGTTAGGCGGCAAACTACTCCTGAGGTACGGGAGATCCCTTACCTTAAGTTCTGACCAGACATTGATTTACACAGCCTCCTCCACCAATAGCCACTGGGCTGCATTACACGAGGTCACACAAAAGCTCCTTTTTAATGTACAAAAGCCCAAACACATTTCTCACTGCGAATTTACGAACACGAAATGCCACAAATGGATACAGGTGGGTCCTTGAGTAGGACATAAAATGACACACAGGTTACACACGTCACGTACATCGTGTCAGCAAACCGAAGCAGTGTGACGCCGAATATCCCGACGCCTATCATACCGACGCCAACGTCAGAAGTCGAATAAAACGAAGACGATCTCTGGAATTTCATGACACATGATGCCGGTAAACCGACGCCGAGAGTCGCGAAGTGCATCGTCGACATACGACACCGATTCAAGCGAAGAGATGATTCAGAACAGAATTCGACAAGACGCCAACAACTACTGTGTCACGAGACATTGTTAGTGAACACTTCTTTGTAGCACTCTATGACGATGTAACAGGAACAAACATAAAGTAACCGAACTTAACGTAAATTAACCTAAACCAACCTACAACTTAATACAAACTAACTCATATTAACATATAACATATAATGCTACAAGGGCAACACCGCGCTTTGCGTCCCTAAACCATCGCCCCCGACACACCAAAGAGAATCAAGTGTATTCTCAGAAGTCGAATTAAGCGAAAATATGTTTCAGGGTGTCATACGACATGTTTGCAAGCAAAGAGAAGACTTGGGACCTTACAACACAATGCTTGCAAGTCTCCGAATAAAGTGGAGTCTATTCTCAGGACGCCACACAACACAAAATTGGGTAATCGGACCTCTTGGCGCCATAAAACATGATACAATTCGACGCCGAGAGTCGCGATGTCGTCGTCAATTTTCAACATTTATCTTTCGTAAAATAAGCCAATCTTACCACATGTTTTTCAACTTACGAATTTTTTTGAAAATATTTGATTATTTATAATTCCTTCCGTGGCATTTATCCGTTACTGTAGTGTATAATATTATTTTACCTGTTACAAAAAGAATATATTTTACATATATTACATGTTATTTATCACATACAAGTGAATATAAGTTCAGTATTTAAGAGAGCAATATTTTCATTTTACCAGATTATAACTTGAATTCGACTTTCACAAATTCGTGTTTTACAAAAACACACAGCCCTGATGTTGGCCTTCTGGGCTGTAACGTGGAGTGGGCTTGTAAGTATTACTGACATGGATGCACCGTGTTCCTCCTACCTACAAATCCACCCGAAGACAGCATCTTCGCCGCCGTGGGACCCTCAAGTCTCATGAAATATTACGATATTCGAATGTGACAGAAGTTTCTGATCTTTCAGCTTGTGGCAAAGAATAAACCGATTTAAATTCAGGTAAGAATAAAATATTTGTCATTTTTTCACCTTCCGTGTCCCCCTTATTTCTGTAGCTTCCTTTCTGCATTCCATGAAATCATTTACGAATTATTCATAACGAAATTCAGAAAATTTATTAAATAATCTAAATTCTCCATGATGATTAAATGATGTTGAAGTCGGTATGTTACTGTTGCATGCCATAAAAAGAAAATTAGGGACGTCTGTAAATATAAAGCGATAACTCGCTAGTAGCCACATTCAAGTGCCGATCGTTGTCCACATGTGTATTAAAAGGGTTGGTTAATCAGCACAAAGACACCCACATATGATACAGCTGAGGATGAAATGTCACCTCAATTTCCCATAAGACCTTGGCCTTGCTTGCAGCGGTGTCTATCAGAAACCAACCCCCGCGTACGGCGAAGGACTTGGACCAGGTCTTATAGTAATGTACAAATTTTTATAATACGATATTGCTCGATCCACTCACCCAGAGAAGGCGCGGGTTGCTTTGGCCCGGATGGCGCCCAATGCCCCAAACCCCGGCATGGTGTCGTGTAGACGGGCTACAGCTACTCAGTTGAGAGGTTCCGCACAGTTGGCCATGTTTCTGTGCCTTCACATCGACATGGAAGATCGCTGGATACAACGCGCCATCTGCCAATAGCACAGCCCCACAGCTCTACTTAACCTTTTAGTTTGCACCACGAAACATTGAAGATCACAGAATATTGGGAAAGGAACTAGTGAAATCTAAATTGAATACTACAAGCACTGCATATTGTCAAAACCATCATTTTATCTGTTATCTTCTAAGGATGTAAAATGGATATTGGGGAAACACGGTGAGGAACCTTGGATTGGACTCAACCGGCTCAGGATAGAGACCAGTGCCTGTCTTTTATGAAAATAATAATGCACTTTTGGGTTTCATTAAATATGGATAATTTCTTGAATAGATGATCGTGCTAATAGCTTCTCAAGAGGATAAATATTCTATTTTTGGACTTTGGGCTATAAGACTAATGTTTAGACACTAACAAATTTAAAAACTTCCTTTCTGGGTTCTGTAATGTGATACTGAGAAACATAAATTAATACTGACATATATACACGACACAAAAAGTAATTTTACAAAAAAACAATCTAGTGTACATCTCTAACAAAATTCTTACATGTTGACAGCATATTAAAAGTAAACAGCTTCTTAAAACTATATCACAAAATGTGGACACTGAGAACAGAGTTTCCATTTAGAAAATTCTTCGGGTTCTTATTAATTTTCTAACAAAAACCTTTAAAGTAAAATGGTAACTATATGTACCACATGCTTTAACGGTCAATAATTCCTCGCTCTGACCAAAGAATGCATTCGTGGATTTCTTATTACTCTCAGAACAAAGAACATTACTAAGTTCATCATTGTAAGGGAGACGCATTGTATTTTCTTTGAGGTAGGGACTGAGATGAACTAAACTCCATGGATCAGAGTCCTACTTGAGAAGCTCTTAGCACGCTCAAGCTAGTCAAGAAATTTCCCGTCTTTTATGGACCCCGTAGGTTCCATAACCATGTTCGAAAAGGCCTCAATCGATTCTCTACCATGAGATCGATTAATACAGTCCACGAACTCCCTTTCCATGTTACTTTGATCCATATTAATAATATCCTCCCACTTTCGCCTAAGTCTATCCGAATTTTCAACCAGAACTTATAATTAATTTCTCATGCACATGTTCACATCATATCAATTATTAGACAGATTCTCCTGATAATCTGGTAACTAACGCAACTTACTGAGCTCCTCATTATGAATTATTTTTCAGAACGAGAGCAAACATCTTATACAATTAACTTAACCAAATAGAGACGTAAAGAATATACTTTACAGTCTACTTACTTACTTACTTTACGTAACCAACAGCTACACAACGAAATATTAAAATTATTAATCATATATAAACCAAGTTACGCGTCTACCTGAGGAAATTTACGAGGGTAACTACAAAGCAATTCACTATAAAAAAACGACTGAACAAATTTAACTAGTACTATTTAACTACACACCAACCTATATAATTGACCAACTAATTATGCTTAAAGTAAAAATTCCGTTCTGTTACGGAAATAAAATTATTATAATATTCAACAACAACAAATCTCTTCATTGGACACTATTCTGTGCCCTTATTCAATTCAATTCAATTCAATTCAATTAATTTATTTACGTGTTTGCCAACAGGAAGAAGCCAATAACAGGCAAACACTGATAATATATACAATAATAGTGAAATAATAATGGATAATATTACACAAACGGATTAACTAAACTTATACATGTACAGTATTAAATGTAACTGCCAAGTACAGGCAAACCCAAAATAGAAACAATATTAACACAGAGCAAAAAATGAAGAAATATAAATAAAAACAAATAATCCACCTAGGGAACACTAATATAAATGTACATCGTTAAAGAAATACAAAAAAGCAGATAACCAAGCTAGATCATTTCCCTTGTTGAGAACGTTCGCTCAAGGGAGACAATGTTTATGCTAAATACGTCCAAAGATTTACATACGTCATTTGCAGCGATGACGCACCTGGCTGAAGGACTATGTCATTTCCACAGTTAACGAAACGCGTAATGAAGTCACGGTGTTAATTACTTTCTCAGCAAATGAGAGATGTGTAACTTACAGACATTTCAAAATAACGACCAGTGTTAATGTAGTTCTTTTGGCTTGTAGCGTAGCGTATACTTCAGAACTAAAGATGGTGGCAGTATGTTCTTCGGGATTGTTGGTATCGTCCCATAAGGCTATGTGACGTTACAACTCAGAAGAACAAATATCGATAATTTCACCACGCTGAGAACCTCAAATTTCAATCAGAATTCTGCTTCACAACTTAGACAGCAAGCATATGTATGTATGTATGTATCTCTTACCTGTTTTCTGCACACGTACTTGGGGCTGTCCGTACCACTCCAGGGTACGCCAAGAGGAAGTCGTGCTGGTTGCATCAACCCCCGTGCAACGAGCGGCGTCCAGACTCCCTTCCCAAATATTCACCCCCCCTCCTCTCTCATATGCGCCAGCACCCACGGGCGCCGGCGCCACAACTCGTTCATCGCCATTGGTCCGTTCCTGTGAAGCTCTCCCATTGGCCACCTGTGAGAGATTAATGTTCGTACAAAATAACCAATGGAAACGCATCAGAAACTAAAGCATTTTGTTCAAGGTAGGCGGAGTATTGAGGGTTGCCTGCCTATATTATATAATACAATGTATGTGTTCTTTTTCCCTGAATAGGAAGGTTTTTAAGAGGGTTCTGACAGCGAGAGAGAGAGAGAGAGAGAGAGAGAATAAGAGAAATATAAAGTAGCTGGCAATAAGAGAGAGAGATTAAGAGAGAACCGACTAGATCCTGACTTCATGTTCAGAGTACAGTTATTATATCTAAAGTTCTTGGTGACGTAAATGAAAGCGGCCATGTTGAATAACTCCAGTTTATTAGTTTCCAAGGTAATCAATGAGTCAGAATATCATATTTAATTTATTTCAATACTTCCTACGATTCTGTTTTTCCCTATCCACGGCCCTGAACAATGAATAATAATTATAAGGAGAATTGAAAGAACTACCCACTCCACCCCCACTTTCAGTCTTCAACAAGAACCCTCCTGCTTGAAACATCATCATACAGGCCGAAACACATGAGGTAATGCGTCTGTATCATTTAAAACACTCAGTCAAGATTTGTAACATCGCTCCAATCTGCGCAAGTCTCATAAAAATTCGTAATTTTATTGAAAATCCCAGAGAACTGCTGCCTATGTTTTGACTACGCAGGCCTATACTAGAGATTAGATACTAAAATTTCTTAGTTACTAATACTAGTTCTACATCCAAAATGGTATAACAGTTTTAAAGTAAGACTCTGGCTGTATTCTGATTTCTTGCGCCGTGTAGCCTATAAACGTTTACCGACGTTTTAGAGATCCTTGCTGCCTCCATCATCACTCAACACCCTGATGATGAAGGCAGACTACACGGCGCTAAAATCCAGAAGACAGCCATCCCTCAACCATATTTATTCATTGTCTAGATCCAACGCAATAATTTAAATACGAAGCACACTGTTTCTTCAGGAAAAAAAGAGCAGATCTGGAACACAGAACGGAATATTCATGCAGAAACGCCAACGCTCTGCGCGGCGCATTGCGACTAGCGTGGGAGGAATTCGTGAGCTATTGTAGGGATTCAGTCAATGGTTTTTATCTCATTAAAACTGGCTATTTTGATCACATCCCACGCTGAAAAGAATTTGTTGCCCACGGAAACAAGGGACAGGCAACACCGCGTGACACGAAAGTCCCTTGACTGGCCTCGTCTCTTTGATTTCATACTAAAATTCTTCTATCATTTCTTCTATGTGTGCTACGTATCCTGTTCCTCTCATGCTAGTTAGTTTTGTCGTAGCAAGAAACACCTGGTAAAGAGTACGCATTATGAAGCTTCTTGTCAAGAAGAACTTTGCTCCATGAAGTTATTTAGTCCAAATGCTTGATAAGATACACACGTTAATGACAGCTCTGAAAATAATTTATGAATCAATACGTTTTTCTTAAATCTGAGAGTAAATTTTGAAAAGAATTACCAATTAATCATCAGGGTGATCAACATGAGATGGGCGCGGCTATTCTGTACGTATGAGATGTATATATGATGATTTATAAAAGGAAAACAAGAACGGAAAAGCAAGGATGTAGATTAAGAATGTAATTAAATTGGATCTTGAAGATTTATAGGGACTGAGGTGTGGGTGTGTATTGGCTCACATATGCATGAAGCAATATTAATCCCATGCATTATTTTTTCATTTACAGACATGGTGACGACGTGAATTTTCATGGTATTTATCTGTCAAATATTGTACTTGTGCACAGCGTAAATATGTGTAGAAATCGATCATTTATTTGTGTAATAGTCAACTTATTCTACACAGATGGAAGTTTCTAAATGATGGGACTCCCTTTGATACTTATTTATTTGAATGACGACTAAAATGTAAACTAATAATTCTGTGGCAAAATACGAACTTTGCTTACGACCTCAACTATTATGCTAATTCCAGAAGTCCCTTGATGCAGGCCATGTTGTAAACAAGGAACAACGATATTCTGTTAACAACATTCGACCCAGTGACGATGGGACAGACTGCCAACGGTTACATATCAAAGGAAACAGCGTTCACAGCATAATATACATTGCGTGTTGCGTCAATACCAGGGGCCATGGTAACCACCACCCCCCTTCACCGCTTCTCGGTGTGTGCCAGTATCCCTGGCGTGTAAATATGCAGCATATCAAATCAATGGTTCGATATACATGCAGAATCGGGCCAAGCATGTACTGCATTCCTTTGAAGGTAGTCAAAGAGGAATTTCAAATACGGAAGAAATCTTGTTCCAACTTTTTAATTACGTAGCTCTGATTACATTAGGTGCTTATACAGAATGTTTCACGAGCACACGCACAGACCAACACTGTTTATTCACGAGTCTAAACCGAGTCGGAGCCAAATTACCAACGTAGTTCCGAAAATCTTTCGTTACCTAGACCCAGAGAATAAGTACGGCTGATATTGTGCAACGTATCCTTTGAAGAGCTACGTTATGAAGCTATACAAGAAGTTAATTGCTTTTATTATGCCCGAAACTCCATTACAGTTTTGACAACATGCTCAGGATATGAAGCAGTGGCGAGCTCTTGTGAACACAATAATAAATATACGGGTTTCATAAAAAGCGAGAAATTTCTTAACCAGCGGAGAGAACTAAAAGATCTTCAAGAAGAATTCTGCTGCATACAGTTAGATATAGTTCAAAAACGAAGGCAGGAACGCAAAATAGCAAACAATTAATTTGGAAATTCTTCTCTTTTCAAATTAAAGTGCGTCTTTTAGCCCTTTGTTATCAGCTTGGCTAAGTTTCTAATACAGCAGTAATTCCTACATCTTAATGCAAATTTTTGTTCAGTATCGTAACACAGGAACTCACAAGGCCATGAAGTGTAAACAAGGTTCAATTAATGATGACGTAAGTATATGACAACGTTACGGAGAAACAGACTGAATATACATTACGTTTCTCCAAAACGTTGGTATCTAAGAGTCTACATGGCGCCAAAACCCAGAATAACATCATCCTCACCGCCGTGAAGACCTCATATCTCACAAGGCGAAATTAAACTTGTGCTATGGTAGCAGAATTCGAAGTTGCAACATTGCTAACACCAGAGGCCACTATTGGACACGATCTTCAGCCAGCTCCTTACACCTCCCATCCCCAAAACTCATGTATCTCCTACATTTCTGTTCTATTCCGATTGTCTGATCTCTTTCTATGTTTCCTACAGTCGGTCTTCCCCACCAATAATCTTGTATGCACTCCGCGTCCGCCCCCATATTGCCCAAAATTCCATCTCATCTTAGCCGTAGATTTCACAATCCTGACAACACTAGCTGACCTGTATAAATCATGAAGTTCCTTCTCATGTAATATCCGAATTGCTTGATTTATTTTTCTAAGGTGGGAATATTTTGCTGAGTACACTATGTTCTGTCAGTTTTAATTTCTCATTTTCCCTCAACGAGACTAGTTTCACAGAAATACAGACCAAGTAGCAAAATCTGCTTTCATATTCCTATGTTAGAAATTTCATTGGGTAACCCGAAGTTTTCGGGCGGAATGATTAAAACTTCCAGAGGTTATTATTCTGCTAATTTCATCAAGAGTCTCAATATTGAACTCCAGAAATATCGAGGCAAAAAAAATTATTAAAACTTCATCAAGAGTCTCAATATTGAACTCCGGAAATATCGAGGCAACAAAAAATTATTAAAAGAAAACAAAATTAATATTTTAAGTCCATCAATCTCAGTAATATTTGCACTTTATTGTAAAAATGATCAGAATTATTCTGACGTTCTATCTAACGCTTCCTCTCACATGATTAAAACCTTGTTAGATACAGTTAAAGTGTAAAACACATTATACGCGTAATTAGAAAAGGCAATGGCTCAATTATACTCTCATATCATGTACAAATGATAGTGAAAAATATAATTTTTTTAGATAACCATGAATTTTACTTGTATGTATTTTTTATTTAACATGTTATGTTAGTTTTTAAAAGACACTTTTCTAATGTTCCAAATTATTTAACAGTTGAAGTTATATTCCTATTTTGTTGCTCTCTTGATCGGAGTTTGCACTGTAAGACGCGTCCCTTGATAATCAAATGGGGGTTGATCTCTGCTCATTGTTATGCACTAGCCCCATCCCTTTGAACCCCCTAAGTGAAGTCGTTTTATGGAGTCGACGTAGGTGTTAAAAGGGCATACGACCGTTAACCCTGAAAACGTTTTAAATTGACTTTCTATTCATTATTCCTGTATATAGCTTTAACCGCCTCCCACACGAGCTTGCTGCATGCAGATAACACTAGATCGAGATGGTTCCTCGCCGCATTAAAACTGTGGGGGGTGAAGAAGGGGTCTTGCCAAAGGAAACAGAATGGTCCAGCGACAATTGATAATTAGAACGAGTAACAAAAAAGCATTTATCACCGTGAGGATAAGGACAGAATTTAATACGAAGATAATGGTAGTCATTAATTGAGAAACAACGCTTTAATCCCCACTCCCATTAAATATTATTGCATGTAATAATGATTACGAACAGAATTTCATATACTGAGTAAAAAATTTGTTATCTAAAAATGTCGTTTCTGATATAATTTTAAAAGCAAAAATTAGAGCTACATGGAATAATGTTCAGAGCCGTGCAGACAAAAAAATACATAAGAACAGTAATAATGATACTAGATTGGGCAGTGCATGTAGCGCTTCTTGGGCATATAGAAAATGCATACAAAAATTTTATTGTAAAAGCTTAAAGGTAGAAGACTACTTGGAAGGCCTAAGTGGAGATGGGAATACAAAATTAACATGACGTTCAGGAAATATAGTCTGTAAAAGTGGGCTCGATTATTTTCGATCCAAATAAGATTCATTTAATACAATTATTACCCTTACAGTATCTGACTGCAGATTCAACGTGATACAGTGAAACATGTGATCTACAGATTACATTAATTTCACATGC